GGAAGTCGGGGCCAGGAGCTATGACTCGTCCCCTGCAAACCACAATCAGGGGAATCACTTACCCAGGGTTCCTTGAGCCCCTGCGGGGTTTAGCGCCCCCCCCACATTTTATAACCAACAGAGCCTACCTAACTAGGCAGTTAAAACTGTATAATGTAAATATGTTAAATAAGAATATTAACATTAATCTGGCTTTGTTAACTATGATAAACATGTTAAATAAGAATATTAACATGAACTAGCTTTATTAACTATGATATAACATGTAAATAGAATATTTAACATGAACTAGCTTTATTAACTAGATAAAAACATGTTAAATAAGAATATTAAAATGAACTAGCTTTATTAACTATGATATAAAAATGTTAAATTAGAATATTAAACATTATCTGGCTTTATTAACTATGATATAACATGTAAATAAGAATATTAACATGAACTGGCTTTGTTAACTATGATATAACAGTTAAATAAGAATATTAACATGAACTGGCTTTACTAACTATGATATAACATGTTAAATAAGAATATTAACATGAAACTGGCTTTATTAACTATTGATATAACATGTTAAATAAGATATTAACATGAATGGCTTTGTTAAAATATGATATAACATGTTAAATAAGAATATTAACATGAACTGGCTTTACTAACTATGATATAACATGTAAAAAAAGAATATTAACATGAACTGGCTTTATTAACTATGATATAACTGTTAAATAAGAATAATTAACATTTAACTGGCTTTGTTAACTATGATATAACATGTTAAATAAGAATATTAAAAGAACTGGCTTTACTAACTATGATATAACATGTTAAATAAGAATATTACATGAACTGGCTTTATTAAAATATGATAAAAACATGTTAAATAAGAAAATTAACATGAACTAGCTTTATTAACTATGATATAACATGTTAAATTGCGTCATAATATAAAAATTAAAATTTTATTGATACAATCACCTGTGGTTATTGTGGTCCAGCGGTACAACTAGAGTACATGGGGGTATATTAGAGTACATGGGAGTATTTTTAGAGTACATGGGAGTATATTAGAGTACATGGGAGTATATTGTTTGTTCCTGGGAGTATATTAGAGTACATGGGGGTATATTAGAGTACTGGGAGTATATTAGAGTACATGGGGGTATATTATAGTTCCTGGGAGTATATTAGAGTACATGGGAGTATAGTATAGTTCCTGGGAGTATATTAGAGTCATGGGAGTTATATTAAAAGTTCCTGGGAGTATATTAGAGTACATGGGAGTATATTATAGTTCCTGGGAGTATATTAGAGTACATGGGAGTAATAGTTCCTGGGAGTTATATTAGAGTACATGGGAGTATATTATAGTTCCTGGGAGTATATTAGAGTACATGGGAGTAGTATATAGTTCTGGGAGTATATTTAGAGTAAATGGGGAGTATATAGTTCCTGGGAGTATATTAGAGTACATGGGAGTTTATGTAGCTCCTGGGAGTTATTTAGAGTTCATGAGGAGTATATTATAGTTCCTGGGAGTTATTAGAGCTACATGGGAGTATATAGTTCCTGGGAGTATATTGAGTAACATGGGAGTATTTTATAGGTCATGGAGTATATTAGAGTACATTGGGGAGTCTATAGTCATGGGTGTATATTAGAGTACTTGGGAGTATAGTGTAGTTCCTGGGAGTATATTCAGAGTACTATGGAGGTTTTTATAGTTCCTGGGAGTATATTAGAGTACATGGGGTCTATATAGAAGACTATACAAATGTTTGAGTGAGAGAGAGAGTTTAGAGAGAGTAGAGAGAGCTAAGTGAGAAGAGATATTAGTTACTACCAGTAAGTGTTGTATCAGTCATGGACGTTCACAGATGAACATGAACAAAAAATAGATATGTATACTCCTGGGTGAGTCAGTGAGTCAATACAGAAGCAGTCAAGTCATTCAAGTAGAAATCCGTATGTACAGTAAACCTTAACCTGTAGTCAGTTGACTCCTAGTTACTGGTTCTAGAGAGCCCTCTTACCAGAGTTGATACCCTAAGTTACTGGTTCTTCTAGGACAGCCTCGTACAATGAGGTGATACCCTGGTTACTGGTTATACTAGAACAGCCTCGTACAGAGCTTGAACCCTGGTTACTGGTTTTCTAGACATGCCCACATATTGAGTTGAACCCTAGTTACTAGTTCTACTAGACAACCCCTCGTTCAGGAGTACCCCCTAGCTACTGGTTCTAGAAACCCTCTTAAAAGGACTGAACCACGACAGAGGTTCTACTCACTGGTTCTTCGTGGAACAAGACTGTTCGTTCCACCTGTAAAGAGAACTTCTCTCTCATTTCCAAGCTGTCTTCGGGATCCCCCAAGCCAGGAAGCGCTGTACCTGCTGGGTGACCACGTTCAAGCTGTCGGACACCACAAGTTGCGTTAGTAGTAGTTGTAGTAGTAGCAGGAGGAGTAGTAATAGTAGTAGGAGATTATCATCATTCACCTGGAGAATGTACCATTCACCTAAACTGGAGAGAGTTCCGGGGTGTCAAACGCCCGCGGCCCGTCAGTGGCACAGGCCTCCGTCATCGTTCAGCTTAATGTCATTTATTTCACCGGATGTCACCATTCACCTGAGAATATAATGATTACCTAATAGTGTCAACATTCACCTTATGGAATGCTCCATCATTCACATGCATGAATCACATTTCCCTGTGACTCACCTGGGTGTATCAGTGACTCTTTGGTATAACTGTAGGAGGTGCCATCAGACCAGGTATAGTCACCTTCCCGATTTCTGTCGTTAAAACCAATCCACACGCTACCAGAGACCAGTCCTGCAGGTCACAAGGAGACCAGTTACCTGTTAGACCATTTTTTCTCATGTTCAATGCTATTCAGTTTGCAAGTTAAGATCTGGTATCCCACCTCAATTCAAAGTCTGGTACTAGAGTTATGTTCCACCCTTACACCCAGTTTGTCACCCACACCAGTCGAATAACATCCAGTGGTGCCTATGCTAACCTTCCTATGGTGTAGAAATATACCTAGTTAGATGAATCTTAACCCACATTATACTTTGAAGAATCCACAACTAACCCACAAGTACAGTAACCCACAATATCATACCTGGAACAATCCACAACTAACCCACAAGTACAAGTAATCTAGGCTGGAATATTGCTGCACACTAACACCACCTTTCAAGGCAGGTGAAATTGCTGACCTAGAAAATGTACAGAGAACCTTCACGGCGCGCATGACGGAGATAAAACACCTCAATTACTGGGAGCGCTTGAGGTTCCTAAACCTGTATTCCCTGGAACGCAGGCGGGAGAGATACATGATTATATACACCTGGAAAATCCTAGAGGGACTAGTACCGAACTTGCACACGAAAATCACTCACTACGAAAGCAAAAGACTTGGCAGACGATGCAACATCCCCCCAATGAAAAGCAGGGGTGTCACTAGCACGTTAAGAGACCATACAATAAGTGTCAGGGGCCCGAGACTGTTCAACTGCCTCCCAGCATACATAAGGGGGATTACCAACAGACCCCTGGCTGTCTTCAAGCTGGCACTGGACAAGCACCTAAAGTCGGTTCCTGACCAGCCGGGCTGTGGCTCGTACGTTGGTTTGGAACAATCCACAACTAACACACAAGTACAGTAACCCACAATATTATACCTGGAACAATCCACAACTAACCCACAGTACAGTACCCCACAATATTATACCTGGAACAATCCACAACTAACACACAAGTACAGTAACCCACAATATTATACCTGGAACAATCCACAACTAACCCATGAACGGCTTCTTATCATTCTTTGTTCTACGTTATAAATACGACACTGAAAACACCAAAAGAAAAGAGTTCACCCAGTGTTACTTGAGGCTGTTGACTCACTGTTAATGAACCTCTGTTCCGAGGAACTGGAGATAGAGACTAGGTTTGAATTCTTGCTGTGACACTGTTGGTTAGCTGACACCCAGCTGGAGCTGATCCAGCTTAACCAGTAACAGGATGAGCCGTACTGATCCATCCACTGCTGCAGGTAGGTCTCCTGGTGGGAGTGGTGGTGGTAGTAGTGGTGGTTGGTGTAGTGGTGGTGGTGGTTGGTGTAGTAGTAGTAGTGGTGGTGGTGGTTGGTGTAGTAGTAGTGGTGGTGGTGGTTGGTGTAATAGTAGTGGTGGTGGTTGGTGTAGTAGTAGTGGTGGTGGTGGTTGGTGTAGAGCTAGTGGTGGTTGGTGTAGTGGTGGTGGTGGTTGGTGTATAGTGGTGGTGGTGGTGGCTGGTGTAGTGGTGGTGGTTGGTGTAGTGGTGGTGGTGGTTGGTGTAGTAGTGGTGGTTGTGGTTGGTGTAGTGGTGGTGGTTGGTGTAGTATTGGTGGTGGTGGTGGCTGGTGTAGTGGTGATGGTGGTTGGAGTACTTGTGGTGGTCGTTGGTATAGTAGTGGTGGTGGTTAGTATAGTAGTGGTAGTGGTTGGAATAGTAGTGGTGGTTGCAGTAGTAGTAGTAGTGGTGGTGATTGGTGTACTAGTGGTGGTAGTGTTGGTTGGAGGCCTGGTCATGGAGAGGGCCGAGGGGGCGTTGATCCCCGAAACATCCACCAGGTATACTCCAGGTATAGTTGGAATGGTGGTAGTTGGAGTGGTATTGGTTGGAGTAGCAGTGTTAGCTGGAGTAGTAGTGTTGATTGGAGTGGTGGTAATGCTGGTTGGGGTAGTTCTAGTGGTAGTAGTAGTAGTGTCAGGTACCGCAGCAACACTACACAGGAACCTGCAATAAAGTTTGTCTTAATACCACTTGCTAGTAAGTTTATTCAGATATACACAAATACAGTTACATAGATTATCATACATAGCAGCATATGTGTAGAGAACCTGGGATAACCCAAAAAAGCCAGAGTGACTTATTTCCATAACATGAGAGGGCCTCTCACTCTCAACACTCACATCCCTCAAGAAAGGTTCCTTGATGTTGGTAAGGGGCTCTTGATCTAGGGAATTGGATCTGTTCTCCAGTTCGCTGTATAATCCTACGGGCTTAGCGCTTCACCCTTGATTATAATAATAATCTCAACACTCACTCCATCACCTTCAAGGCATACCCTCACCCTCAAGGCATACAATCACTCAGTGCATACCCTCACTCTCAAGGCATACTCTCACCCTCAAGACATCCCCTCACCCTCAAGACATCCCCTCACCCTCAAGACACCCCCTCATTCTCAAGACATCCCCTCATTCTCAAGACATCCCCTCATTCTCAAGACATCCCCTCATTCTCAAGACACCCCCTCATTCTCAAGACATCCCCTCATTCTCAAGACACCCCCTCACCCTCAAGACATCCCCTCACCCTCAAGACATCCCCTCATTCTCAAGACATCCCCTCATTCTCAAGAAATACAAGTTACCAGGTACTCACTGTTTGGTATGGTCGCAGTGGGCATCATTCCAGAGGTACTGATACCTTTGGCTCATCGCGACACAGTGTTCCTGTCCAGCCAGTACCCAAAGGTCACCTCGTTCGCCAAATACCCAGAGAGCACCAGTATTGCTAGGCTCCCCCTCTGCCCAGCTGTAGGAGAAGTTACGCAAGCTTAGGATAAGATAAGTTAGGATAGGTTAAGTTAGGATAAGTTAGATTCAAATAGGTTATCAACTCAACAGTTCATTGTACACTAACTTCAAGCATATTTTAACTTCTGAAACACTTGTAACTACACCCAGTGTACCTACACTGAGAGGTGTGTACATCTCAGTGCATGTATACTGAGGTGTATATACATCTCAATGGATATACAGTGAGAGACTTATGCCTCTGGGGTGTATATATACACTAAGAAGTATTCTTTTCTCAGTTTATATGTATATACCTGTTAGTGTATATACACTGACAAGTATACTGCTCTCATTGTATGTTCGTATATACTAAAGCAGCAATATACCCATAATTTTCATCGCATGGTGTTTATATGACACATCATAAGAGAGGTGTATAGCCTTATTTCTTAAGTAGACTCACCTGGTGAGTAGACTCACCTAGTAAGTAGACTCACCTGGTAAGTAGACTCACCTGGTGAACTTATAAGGTGATCCATCTAACCAGGTATAGTTTAGGTTCAACTCTGTGTTCCTCAGTCCGAGCCACGTATCTCCAGTCAGTGCCACTGTAAGCAGTGGTAGGTGGTGTTAATTCTAGTGTTAGTGGTGGTAATGTCCCCTGTTCTACGTGTAACTTTTCTTTAGTGGGATGTCAGGGGGCAGTGCCCCCTCTGGCGGTAACGAACTTATACCCTGGTAGAGGAGAGTGAAGGAATCTTAGGGAAATATCCTGACGTTATTCTCTGAGCGTTCAGCTCAGAAACGAATGGACCCGAGTTTGATTCCTGGGAGACAAGAGATGCGGGGACAAATCTGTCCCTTCTGTCACTCTTCACCAGCAGTAAATAGGTACCCAGGTGTTAGTTATTATGGTCGTGAAAACACGAACCATAACGACAAGGCAGAGAGCTTCTTTTGTGGTATATTAAACAACTCTTCGTCTCCCCTATTTTTTTAAGAAATTTCAAATATATTATTGTGGGAGAAATATGGGCCTCTCGGTGTATCATAATAATAATAATTATTATTATTATTATTTCTGCCAGTACATGATACAACTATACAGACCATAGTTGACAACAGTGACATACTATATAGAAAGTCCTTGGTTATGTAGATCATTTCCCGTAATTTGGGTTAATCTTGTCCCCATGATGCTACCCACACCAGTCGGCTAACACCCAGGTACCTACTTACTGCTAGGTGAACAGCGACACTCCCCAATGTTTCCACCTGTACCGGGGATCGAACCACAACTACTCAGGGTATGAGCTGAGTGCACTACCAACCGAGCTACGAGAGTGAAAGATACTCACACCGGATCCAACTCTGCTGGAGTTGACTGGAGATAGTGGCCAGACTCCCACCCAGAAAACTGCAGAAGTCCCGTCCTTCCAGCCAAGTTCCTGAGTTGTTAACCAACAGGAAGCATGTTGAGTCTATCATCTCCCATCCAGCAGGGCACTGGAAGCCTCCGGAGACCCAGGTCTCATTCATCGCTGGCACAGAAAGCCATGAGGAATCCTCTTCCTCTGTTCCTTGCATGACAAATACGAGAGTTAGTTTGACATCTTTGGTATGAATCCTACACCCATCCTGTGAGCCTAGTATGAGATTGTGTTAGTTCTGACAGGAGACACAACACACCCACACGGTATACACACCCACACAGTACACACATTCACACAGTACACACCCACACAGTATATACACCCACAGAAACACAAGTTACAGAACAAGAGGTTATTGGGACAACGTTTTGCCCTGTTTAGCGCTGTATTAAAGTACCGACATATCTCTACACAGAGCGAAACGTTTATAAAGTCCTCACAACCCTCTACACAGAACGAAACGTCGCAACATATTATCTTCATCGTGTAAGCTATTCTACATCTCTTCAAAGAGAAAGCATTCTACACTCAAATTCAAATTCAAATTCAAAGTTTATTCTCTATAAGGATTACAATGCTGAGTTTACAGAAATTTGGTTATTGTGTGGTTTACATGTAGTAAAATAGTGATTACAGAGTGTACCACTAGAACGCTTAGCATGGCTAGGCATTTCGGGCAGACTTAGTTTTATTCTTAATTGTAAAATATTACAAATTATGAGGTAAGTTGGTATTATGGCTAAGTGACTAAATACTAGTTTGTGAGTTTAGCAATGTGAATGCTTTTGTTTTGGCACAGTACATAGTTTCAGTATTGGAGTATCATAGGATTCATTATTTTAAGACTGAGATTAATATTTCTGTTTATGGTCAAATGAGTGAGTGAGTGTAAGTGTGAACCACCAGGTGGTATTCGTGTGACGCTCTGAACTAGAAGCTACTGTACGTAGCTTCAGCTGCTGAAACCTCAATGCTACAAGAGTTGGACTTACCAGAGTCACCAGAAACGAAGTTGCAGCTGGTCAATTGACCAGACTGGAAGTCCAGACGAACCAGAAGACCGAACTCTTCAAGGCGGTCCACGCTGGCCAAGACTGAACCTTCAATCACATTCTGCCGAAGAAGACAGGTGGTAATAGAGAAACATAATTGAAGCCTGTTAAATGTTTAGCACTCTGGCAGGATTGTCGGTCGTATATTTCAATAATTTTGATTAATTGAAGCATATAAAAGTTGAGCGATTGTAATGCCTTACCTGGTGTGAGGTGTTAATTGGCTTGCAGGCCAGGTAAGGTTGGTTGTCAGGTGTGTACGTGATTATCAGCTGTGCACCTGTTGTCAGGATCACCTCAGACTCTTGTTCTGGGATTTTGGAGACGCTAGTACACTGCACCACCTGCTGTAATACCCGTCTGCATGAGCAAGTGGGTGAAGGCAGAGTTCATGCAGAGTCTTAAGACTAGGTATGGTACCATGAAGTTACCAGCAGCAGCTGCTAGTACTACTGCTGCTGCTGCTACTACTACTACTATTATCACTACTACTACTGCTACTACTACTACCACCACTACAACAACTACTACTACTACTGCTACTGCCAGTAATAACTATAACCCCACACTATAACAACCTCAGACTTCATGAACCATAATGAGATATTTCAGTTTTTTGTATGATAGTGATTCTTCCTATAACATTCCTTGTCGAATTTATAATACTCGGCATGAGAACGAGACGCGGGGGCCATCATCTCCTAAACTCTTAACAGATAACACCGCACAGTAGAGTGTAAATCCGTATATGATGGAGCGAATTTCCTTGATTCTGCTGTTGTAGAGATTTTACTTAAGGAATTGAAGATGTCCCGTCAATTCTGGTATCAAAATTGATAAATGGCCAATGATATATTCAACTGACCGTCAGTAGCGTCGTCAGTAGCACTGTCAGTAGCCCAGACTGTGTCAGAAGCATCTTGTTTGGTCTATATGAGAGGCACTCTGTGAGGCAGTGGCAGTGCTGTCTCTTATATACCACGCACGCCCACACTTCAAGGAGGGGCGTGCCTTGATGCTGCTCAAGGGATCTTGATCCAGGAATCAGAGTCCTTTATGACAAGACTTTGTGTCTGATTCACCTTGATCCATGAGACTGGGAGCTGCAGCAGCTGTGTACCAACCCCCTGCAACCCAAGATCAACACGTAGGTATGTGTCACCCATGACCAACACGTAGGTATGGGTACCCATGACTAACACATAGGTATAGGCCACCCACAACCCATGACCAACACTTGTGGTATGGGTCACCCACAACCCATGACCAACACGTAGGTGTGGGTCACCCACAACCCAGAGTCAATATGCAGGTATGAGTCACCCACAACCCATAATCAACACGTAGGTATGGGTCACCCACAACCCATGACCAACACTTGTGGTATGGGTCACCCACAACCCATGACCAACACTTGTGGTATGGGTCACCCACAACCCATGACCAACACGTAGGTATGGGTCACCCACAGCCCATGACCAACACGTAGGTATGGGTCACCCACAACCCATGACCAACAGGTAGGTATGGGTCACCCACAACCCATAATCAATATGCAGGTATGAGTCACCCACAAACCATAATCAACACGTAGGTATGGGTCACCCACAACCCATAATCAACACGCAGGTATGGGTCACCCACAAACCATGACCTACCCACAATATGAGTCACCCACAACCCATGACTTACCCACAGTGTGGGTCACTCGAAACCCATGACCTACCCACAGTATGGGTCACCCATAACTCATGATCAACGAACAGTATGGGTTACCCATAACCCATGATCAACCCACATTATGAGTCATGACCTACCCACAGTATGGGTCACCCACAACCAATGACCTACCCACAGTATGGGCCACCCACAACCCATGACCTATCCACAGTATGGGCCACCCACAACCCATGACCTACTCACAGTATGGGCCACCCACAACCCATGACCTACCCACAGTATGGATCACCCACAATCCATGACCTACCCACAGTGTGGGTCACCCACAATCCATGACCTACCCACAGTATGGATCACCCACAATCCATGACCAACCCACAGTACGGGCTACCCACAACCCTTGACCTACCCATAGTATGGGTCACCCATAACCCATAACCAACACACACACGCACACATAGCTCAAGTGAATGTGTTGTGGTGGTTGTAAGTTTGTTAAGTGTGTTGCACCATGTCTGGTGAACAGAGAGAGTCTTGTGGATCCTGGGAGGCAGGATACACTGCTTATTGGTCTGGCGCTACAACGTATTTACGCTTTGGTTTTTACGCACATCTTGCGGTGTTAGCTTACACTGCAACGTTCCTCTTGCTAAACGAGGAAAGTATAAAGTTTCTCTTGCAGTAATTCACCTAAAATCAGTTTGCATTTCGGGGATTTTTTCATATTTCATCAATGTCAGAAAATTTTAATTTAGGTCGATCTATTTTCAATATAGCAAAACTAAGCCATATAGAGCTTTACATCCTGAAATGTGACCCTCTTCAGTACAGGAAAGACTGTGCTATAACTTAAATTGCCGGGCACACCATCTAAAGGGGACAAAAAGATACAAAACATCCAGGCCATGGGAAAACCTGGGTAGCCACAGCCACTCAAGAGGGAGAGCTTTTTAGTGCCAGGAAGGAAAAAAAAACTGGCAGGAAATGGCAGAAATCGTACACCAAATCCAGTCATTCCTGGAGTGGGCAGATACTAATGCCGGAAAAAAAAAGTCCCCCCAGTACCACCAATACCACCAGTCCGATGACATTCTTGTTTGCAAATATACAGGGTCTAAAGCTAGCAACAAACAACAAAATACCTTTCATCCGTGGACTGCTTGCAGAGGCAAAGGCAATGTTCGCGGCTTTCACTGAGACCCACATAAAGGATCACTTGGACAATGAAATATGGATCCCAGGTTATAACCTATACAGATGTGACAGAGTGAACAGGCAAAAGGGGAGGGGGGTTGGCCTGTACATTGCAGAGTCACTTGTTTGCACAGAACTGCTTAATGCCTCAAATGATGTAGTGGAAGTTTTAGCAGTAAAGGTCGAGAACCAAAACCTAGTCATTGTGGTAGTCTACAAGCCTCCGGATGCAACGTCCAAGCCTATCCGATGTTATCCTGACGCCAAATGACTTCGAACAGGCGATAAATGACATGCCCATGCACTCTGCCCCAGGGCCAGACTCATGGAACTCCGTGTTCATCAAGAACTGCAAGAAGCCCCTATCACGAGCCTTTTCCATCCTATGGAGAGGGAGCATGGACACGGGGGTCGTCCCACAGTTACTAAAAACAACAGACATAGCCCCACTCCACAAAGGGGGCAGTAAAGCAATAGCAAAGAACTACAGACCGATAGCACTAACATCCCATATCATAAAAATCTTTGAAAGGGTCCTAAGAAGCAAGATCACCACCCATCTAGAAACACATCAGTTACACAACCCAGGGCAAGATAAGATAAGATAAGATTTCGTTCGGATTTTTAACCCCGGAGGGTTAGCCACCCAGGATATCCCAAGAAAGTCAGTGCGTCATCGAGGACTGTCTAACTTATTTCCATTGGGGTCCTCAATCTTGTCCCCCAGGATGCGACCCACACCAGTCGACTAACACCCAGGTACCTATTTTCTGCTAGGTGAACAGGACAATAGGTGTAAGGAAACGTGTCGAAATGTTTCCACCCGCCGGGAATCGAACCCGGGCCCTCCGTGTGTGAAGCGGGAGCTTTAGCCACCAGGCCACCGGGCCACAAGCCACCAGGCCACCGGGCCAACATGGGTTTAGAACAGGTCACTCCTGTCTGTCTCAACTACTGGACCACTACAAGGTCCTAGATGCACTAGAAGACAAAAAGAATGCAGATGTAATATATACAGGCTTTGCAAAAGCCTTCGACAAGTGTGACCATGGCGTAATAGCGCACAAAATGCGTGCTAAAGGAATAACAGGAAAAGTTGGTAGATGGATCTATAATTTCCTCACAAACAGAACACAGAGAGTAGTAGTCAACAGAGTAAAGTCCGAGGCAGCTACGGTGAAAAGCTCTGTTCCACAAGGCACAGTACTCGCTCCCATCTTGTTTCTCATCCTCATATCTGACATAGACAAGGATGTCAGCCACAGCACCGTGTCTTCCTTTACAGATGACACCCGAATCTGCATGACAGTGTCTTCCATTGCAGACACTGCAAGCCTCCAGGCGGACATCAACCAAATCTTTCAGTGGGCTGCAGAAAACAATATGAAGTTCAACGATGAGAAATTTCAATTACTCCGATATGGTAGACACGAGGAAATCAAAACTTCATCAGAGTACAAAACAAATTCTGGCCACAAAATAGAGCGAAACACCAACGTCAAAGACCTGGGAGTGATCATGTCGGAGGATCTCACCTTCAAGGACCATAACATTGTATCAATCGCATCTGCTAGAAAAATGACAGGATGGATAATGAGAACCTTCAAAACTAGGGAGGCCAAGCCCATGATGACACTCTTCAGGTTACTTGTTCTATCTAGGCTGGAATATTGCTGCACACTAACAGCACCTTTCAAGGCAGGTGAAATTGCTGACCTAGAAAATGTACAGAGAACCTTCACGGCGCGCATAACGGAGATAAAACACCTCAATTACTGGGAGCGCTTGAGGTTCCTGAACCTGTATTCCCTGGAACGCAGGCGGGAGAGATACATGATTATATACACCTGGAAAATCCTAGAGGGACTAGTACCGAACTTGCACACGAAAATCACTCACTACGAAAGCAAAAGACTTGACAGACGATGCAACATCCCCCCAATGAAAAGCAGGGGTGCCACTAGCACGTTAAGAGACCATACAATAAGTGTCAGGGGCCCGAGACTGTTCAACTGCCTCCCAGCATACATAAGGGGGATTACCAACAGACCCCTGGCAGTCTTCAAGCTGGCACTGGACAAGCACCTAAAGTCGGTTCCTGACCAGCCGGGCTGTGGCTCGTACGTTGGTTTGCGTGCAGCCAGCAGTAACAGCCTGGTTGATCAGGCTCTGATCCACCAGGAGGCCTGGTCACAGACCGGGCCGCGGGGGCGTTGACCCCCGGAACTCTCTCCAGGTAAACTCCAGGTGTAAAGCAACAAGTCCAATGCTTCTACCCTCGCTGGGAATCGAACCCGGACATTCGCCGTGTGAAGAGAGAGCTTCAGCCACCAGGCCACGGGACCACAACCTTTAAGTCCAAGTTAGGCTTCTATAACATTTAAACTCATCTCAGGATATCACAGCTTATAAATCTATCCAAGCTATCAGAGATTTTAAACCCAACACTATCCCTGACACAAAAAACTCGCACATAAAAGAGAGAAGCTTACGACGACGTTTTGGTCCGACTTGGACCATTTACAAAGTCACACTAACCAGAAGAACAAACGAACGAACGAACGAAAGTTCAGGTAAGATCCCAAATGGGATGAGCGGGGAAGACGGGACAGACGAAGAATAGTGCTGGAGAGGAGTGTTCTTAGTCGTAGAAATAGAGCCAGGGCTTAACCCAGCAGCGAAGGCGATCGTGGGACAGATATTGAGAAGAGAAATTCAGGCTCTTCTGTTGGGACTCCGGTGGGGTGAGCGGGGAGGAAGGGACATGCGACGTTTAGCGCTAGAGAGGATTGTAGAACTGGGCCATGTCTTAACCCAAAAGCTAAGGCGAACGTGGGACAGAGAATGGTACCTGTCATAGAAGGTACCTGTCAGTGAATCCAAGGTTATTTGTAAATAGGGTTAGGAGCAGGATCATGCAAGTAGTAGAAAAGGTTGTGTTGGTTTGTGGGTCTGCGAATGTCTTCGTCAAGGAGAGAGGTCCAGTAGTCAGGGGACAATATATAGTTCTTGGCCTCCCAGGAGGCAGGACTCAATAAGGTTTTACCAGCCCTTAACAACCACAACAACAACAACAACAGGAGGCAGGACTCAATAAGGTTTTACCAGCCCTTAACAACCACAACAACAACAACAACAACAACAGGAGGCAGGCCTCAATAAGGTTTTACCAGCCCTTAACAACCACAACAACAACAACAGGAGGCAGGACTCAATAAGGTTTTACCAGCCCTTAACAACCACAACAACAACAACAACAGGAGGCAGGACTCAATAAGGTTTTACCAGCCCTTAACAACCACAACAACAACAACAACAACAACAACAGGAGGCAGGCCTCAATAAGGTTTTACCAGCCCTTAACAACCACAACAACAACAACAACAACAGGAGGCAGGACTCAATAAGGTTTTACCAGCCCTTAACAACCACAACAACAACAACAACAGGAGGCAGGACTCAATAAGGTTTAACCAGCCCTTAACAACCACAACAACAACAACAACAACAGGAGGCAGGACTCAATAAGTTTTACCAGCCCTTAACAACCACAACAACAACAACAACAACAGGAGGCAGGACTCAATAAGGTTTTACCAGCCCTTAACAACCACAACAACAACAACAACAACAGGAGGCAGGACTCAATAAGGTTTTACCAGCCCTTAACAACCACAACAACAACAACAACAACAACAGGAGGCAGGCCTCAATAAGGTTTTACCAGCCCTTAACAACCACAACAACAACAACAACAACAGGAGGCAGGACTCAATAAGGTTTTACCAGCCCTTAACAACCACAACAACAACAACAACAGGAGGCAGGACTCAATAAGGTTTAACCAGCCCTTAACAACCACAACAACAACAACAACAACAGGAGGCAGGACTCAATAAGGTTTTACCAGCCCTTAACAACCACAACAACAACAACAACAACAACAGGAGGCAGGACTCAATAAGGTTTTACCAGCCCTTAACAACCACAACAACAACAACAACAACAACAACAGGAGGCAGGACTCAATAAGGTTTTACCAGCCCTTAACAACCACAACAACAACAACAACAACAACAGGAGGCAGGCCTCAATAAGGTTTTACCACCTTAACAACCACAACAACAACAACAACAACAACAGGAGGCAGGCCTCAATAAGGTTTTACCAGCCCTTAACAACCACAACAACAACAACAACAGCTCAAGGATCCTCGGTTTTTCATTTTTAATTTTCATTAATGTCCAGATTTGGACAGTAATATTTCCCTGGACAATAATATTTCCCTGGACAATAATATTTCCCTGGACACATGGAAGCAAGACAAGATGTGTCGTGAGCTGTGACGTTCTCAAGTAAATTGAAAAACGAATATATATGTATATTAGTAGCCACCAGAGGTAATATTCCAAGATTTATAGCAGTTATTCAGCGCTGTATGGCCCTTGTGGGTTTAGCGCTAAGTTATGATTATAATTATTCAGTGTTGTATGAGCCTTGTGGGTTTAATGCTTAGTTTTGATTTTAATATAATTATTAGAAATTCCTGATATATGACTACCTTCTTACGGGTTTAGTGCTTCCCCATGACTATAATGATAATATATATTAATCCTTTTTTTAGATATTATATATTGAAAATTTTTGATGGGTGTCTTGATGCTGAAAACCTCTTGATCCGAGGAATTGGAGCTGTCCTCTGTTTCCTTGGGTCTTCCTGATTACCTTCCATTCCAAACTTTTATTTTTCTGATAGATGAGTAGCACAGATTCCAGTGAGGACCGTGCCATAGCTGATGTTGCTCCGTCGGGTAATAGAGCAGCCATGGAGATGGATCATCTACTCCAACGATCACTTGCAACCTACCGTTATGAGAACGCTCTGGTTAAGACAGAGTTATCTGCTACCCTGGAGAGGCACGCTCGAGAGGTAGAGGAGCTAAGACTGAGATATGAAGCTCAGGTAATCTTGGGGTACAATCTATAATTTTCTTCCATTATGCATTCATCTTTCAAGAGGTGTGCATTGATAGTAGTAAAGGACTCTTGATTCAAGTAATTGGACCTACCTTCCTCTTCCTTGGTATCTGTGTTAAGAGTTTATGTTCATAGCCTTTATTGTTAATTTTATCTTTGTATTGTATATATTTTTTATTGTTTTGAGCATTGAGTGGCCTAAAAGATCAAAGTGCCCTGAAAATATCACATTATTATTATTAGTATTAGTATTATTACATGCTATCATTCGACTATACGTACTTTGCTGTGATATTATTGCAAGACTTTAAGTACTTTAAGTACAGAGGAACAGGTCGCTCCTGTCTGTCTCAACTATTGGATCACTACGACAAGGTCCTAGATGCACTAGAAGACAAAAAGAATGCAGATGTAATCTATACAGACTTTGCAAAAGCCTTCGACAAGTGTGACCATGGCGTAATAGCGCACAAAATGCGTGCTGAAGGAATAACAGGAAAAGTCGGTCGATGGATCTATAATTTCCTCACAAACAGAACACAGAGAGTAGTCGTCAACAGAGTAAAGTCCGAGGCAGCTACGGTGAAAAGCTCTGTTCCACAAGGCACAGTACTCGCTCCCATCTTGTTCCTTATCCTCATATCCGACATAGACAAGGATGTCAGCCACAGCACCGTGTCTTCCTTTGCAGATGACACCCGAATCTGCATGACAGTGTCTTCCATTGCAGACACTGCAAGGCTCCAGGCGGACATCAACCAAATCTTTCAGTGGGCTGCAGAAAACAATATGAAGTTCAACGATGAGAAATTTCAATTACTCAGATATGGTAAACACGAGGAAATTAAATCTTCATCAGAGTACAAAACAAATTCTGGCCACAAAATAGAGCGAAACACCAACGCCAAAGACCTGGGAGTGATCATGTCGGAGGATCTCACCTTCAAGGACCATAACATTGTATCAATCGCATCTGCTAGAAAAATGACAGGATGGATAATGAGAACCTTCAAAACTAGGGAGGCCAAGCCCATGATGACACTCTTCAGGTCACTTGTTCTATCTAGGCTGGAATATTGCTGCACACTAACAGCACCTTTCAAGGCAGGTGAAATTGCTGACCTAGAAAATGTACAGAGAACCTTCACGGCGCGCATAACGGAGATAAAACACCCCAATTACTGGGAGTGCTTGAGGTTCCTAAACCTGTATTCCCTGGAACGCAGGCGGGAGAGATGATTATATACACCTGGAAAATCCTAGAGGGACTAGTACCGAACTTGCACACGAAAATCACTCACTACGAAAGCAAAAGACTTGGCAGACGATGCACCATCCCCCCAATGAAAAGCAGGGGTGTCACTAGCACGTTAAGAGACCATACAATAAGTGTCAGGGGCCCGAGACTGTTCAACTGCCTCCCAGCATACATAAGGGGGATTACCAACAGACCCCTGGCAGTCTTCAAGCTGGCACTGGACAAGCACCTAAAGTCGGTTCCTGACCAGCCGGGCTGTGGCTCGTACGTTGGTTTGCGTGCAGCCAGCAGTAACAGCCTGGTTGATCAGGCTCTGATCCACCAGGAGGCCTGGTCACAGACCGGGCCGCGGGGGCGTTGACCCCTGGAACTCTCTCCAGGTAAACTCCAGGTAAACTCAGTTCCAGAAGGTAGAAAAAAGATAGACTTCTCCTATGATAATATTAAATTTATTGTATGTTATTTTATAGATGAAGGAAGCGGAGAGGCAGCGGGTGGCAGCAGAGAGCAAGCTGTCAGAGGTGCAAGATACACATGCAGAGAAACAAAGGAAGTTGCAGCAGATCAATCTTCAGTTACAGCAAAAAATTAAAGTAATGTTAGCATCGTAATGCAGTAAATGGTGTGGAGAAATTTGTTGTCCTTGATATAGGGCAACTTCTGATGTACTATATATAAACCATGGATGTAAGAGAGTAATACAGGAGAGAGGGTGACTGATAATGATAGTTGCGATGGATAGAGAAAAGATTGCTGCAACAATACTGGACACTTCTATAACCAATGAACGTTGTCCATTGTTTCCAAATTGACATAACAGAATTTATTCTGTAGTTTCGAAGGCTTTTATGTAGAGGTTCATTATATCGAGCTTACTGTTCATAGCTAAGCCACAAATTGAAAAATAAACTTTAGTTAACATTCTAGTCTTTTCTGAATAATTATCAAGTCACTTAAAGTTTCCTCTTTAAGTTTTATGTTGTGAATTGTTCCTGCCATGTTATTGTGACTTTTATTTCTTTTTGGTATTTTGTACTTGTATTCCATCATAAAAGCTACAGGTAGCTTGTAGCTAAGTGGTAAAACATTTGGCACACAAACAAAAGCATCCATATTTGAGTTCCAGGTGTGGCAGGATGTATAAAATCTTCTAAGACCTACTGCCTGTGTTCATCTAACAGTAAACAGGGACATTGAAGTTATTCGGCTATTGTTGGTGGCTTCCTAGGAGAGGATTCTAATAGAAGTAAGGTATATTACTTATTGTGATAATGAACAGGTGATGGAGGAGGAGCTAGAGGCTGACATGAGAGCCCGTGAGAAAGTGATAAAGGAGAAGACTCAAGCTGAGGAAGAGTTACAACGTCAAATACTCTCTCACCAAACTGCTTTTCAGGCCATCAAGGTACTTCTTCTTTAGTAATGATATATATTAAAATAATGTACAGTTCACAACACAATCTTTAGTTATTGAGATTTGTCAGTAAGTCACCGCTATTTTTTTCTTAAAATTTTTTGTCTTAAAAACTAGATCTATGAATACATAATTGAAGTGTAATGAACACTTGTCATTGCTCAATAATGACCCAAATGGAGACAGAAACTCAGAAGATTAATTGATCTGTATATTTTGACCCCTGTCTGAGATTCTCATCTGCTGGAGAGGATCCCAGAAGAGTGTCGAAATATACAGATAAATTAATCTCCTGAGTTTCTGTCTCCTAGATTTATACTCAAAAATATACAGAATGTTTATATCTTTGTGTGAAATAGAGTCTAGCTTAAGATTTGTGACATGAGTTTAAAAATATAAGAGTACACTTTTGGGATATTATTTAACAGGTATTCCGGAAATGGCTATGCAAAAGGGGTCATATTGTAACATTGGGGAAGGGGGTCAGGTATAGCAGAAACAAAAAGGGATGCAAAAATGGTTTTAAACAAAATATAGAGAGTGAGTGTTACAGGGGTTGCCCTTAGATTAGAGCAGTCAGAGTGAAACATCATTTTAAAAAACGAGATCGAATGAACCTAGAAGCCCTAAAACCCTTTATTTGATCAAATGTGAAAAGGGATACAATAGAGCAAATAATTTTTTAATAAAATGAAATGCAAATATAAGTGCCATAATGAGGGTGAGAGAAAACACCCCTTCAACTAGCTGGGGTCTTTTGACCAAAAAAAAAGAAAATGTCCTCCCCCCTTTGGGTTAAACCCGATTTCCCCCACTCTTAAAGGGTGTATAACCCCACAGATTTTGCCCTTTCTGCACATAACGTAAAAAATAATATGTAACTTATAATTTTCTTAAAAAAAGGATTTTCATTTTCATAAGATCATGTAAGGTTTTACAATTTTCCTTGTAACTTTTGACCCCATCTTGGTGCAGTCTGCTGGGAGTAAAATTCTGGATACTTTTGAACTTTTCTCTCTTTGTCTAGGGGAGGTTGATAGTGCGCATACTGAAGGGTTTGAGGTTTTTTGTTTTAATGATTACTACTCTTGAGTCCTTTTCTTCCTTGGGATTTGGAGGGGGTGTTTCTCCTGATTCCTTCCCCCACCCCGTTTTGTTACTCTGCATTGATTGAGATTGACCCAGTCCCTTCTTTACCCTTGTTCAAAAAAGTAATTTAATTAAATTTTGTTGTTTCCCCCTAAGGCAAAATGCCCCCAAAAAGAAAATTTTACCTCACTTGTTCTTCTTTTTTCTAAAGGGGTTTCCCAAAGGGTTCAATTAAAAGAAAACCCTTAAAATTTACATTTGTTCATCCTTCCAAAAGCAAAACTGCATTTTACTTCCTGTTCCAAAATTTTTTTCTGGCTGAAGTTTTTGTTTTTTATTAAAAACACCCGCCCCTTTTTCCTACTAAGGCAGGATGACCAAAAAAGAAGAAACACTTTTTCCCCTTATTACTCCTCACTGTCTTACAGAGGGGACCTACGCTCTGTTTTAAAACTGCAATTGAAACGCTCCTTCAGGGACAGGCACTGTACTTGCCACCCCCGGGGCTGGAAAATTTTTCACCCCTCCTTCAGGGCACAGGCACTGTATTTCCCCCCTCCAGGACTGGAACATTTCACCCCCTCCCTTTAGGGCACAGGGATGTACTTCCACCTCCAGGCGTAACATTTCACCACCCTTTAGGGCAAGGCACTGTACCCCCACCTCCTACGGAAATTCTCACCCCCTTTAGGGCACAGGCACGTACTTCCCCCCTCCAGTATGGAACATTTTCACCCACCCTTCGGGGCACAGGCACGTATTCCCCCACCCCCAGTACTGGAACATTTCACCCACCCTTTTGGGCACGGGCACTGTATTCCCCACCTCCAGTCGGGAAAACATTTCACCATCCTTCAGGGCACGGGCCTGTATTCCCCCTCCATTTATGGAACATTTCACCCATCCTTTAGGGACGGCACTGTACTCCCCCTCTAGGACTGTAAAATTCCCCCCACCCTTTTAAAGGGCACGGCACTTATTCCCACCCCCGTAGGGAAACATTCTCACCCCTTTAGGGCACAGGCACGTCTTCCCACCTCCAGGACGTAACATTCTCCCCCATCCTTCAGGGACAGGACTGTACTTCCCACCCCCAGGACTGTAACATCCTCCCCCACCCTTCGGGCACGGGCACGTACTTCCCACCTGACTCAAGTCTGGCCTGGGTTTCAATGAACCCCTTCAAAATGTTTTTTCTATAAAAACCTTCCTCTGAAAATTTGTTTTTTTTAGTTGGGGAAACAGATTACCTTAAATTTTGTTTTAATTTAAAATTTTGAAAGTGATGTATTTTTTATTTTAAAGTTATTTTTTTTAAATTACCCAATTTAAAGGTTTTAGGATGTATTGTTATAGTATATTTTTTTTAAGGGGGATTAAAAAAAAAAAAAAAATCAGCTAAAGGAAAAACCCTGGACAACTTATGGAAGTTAACAAAAAGAGAACTACAGTGCGAGAATTGACTACAACCCTTAACTTGAAGCATCAGCAGCAGTTTTTTAAGGATTAAACTTTTCAATCCCCATGGGAAGTGGGAAAATCCTCCCTCGATAAGATGTATGTCGTAAGAGGGGAATTTATAAAGGGGGCAAGGGGTTTTAACTCCTTCTCCTGTATAAATTACTATATTTAAAAAAAAAGCTTTAGTTTTTCTTTTTACGTTTTTTTTCTTTTTTTTTTATTTTTACAAACAACCCAAAGGGTATGCATACGCAAACTCAGTAATCTAGAATTTTTTTAGAATGGTTGTTTGTGATAAACCGCCTAGCATGGTTAGAATGAGAATTTGTGCAACAATGGGGAACTTATGAGGAAACGTTCACCGCGAGTGGCTTCTTTAGTCCATTAAAAGAAGAATGGTGGAAATGAGGAGTGGGTTTAGGGAATCACCCCAGCATGTAATAAACTGAAAATTCCTGGGGTGGCAAAATGTTTTCCCCAATAAGTGTTCTAAAATGTTGCACAAGTTGCACAAATGCCACAACATTTTCATATGCATGGTATGGGACAGTTTAAACCCCGCAAATTTTCATCATAGCATAGTATGGTCATAGATCCCTCACAACATTTACATCAAGCAAGTATGGGACAGTAGGTCTCTCACAACATTTTCATCTAGCATAGTTGGACAGTACTCTCACAAAATTTAATCATAGCTAGTAGGTACAGAGGTTTTTCCCCAAACATTTAAAACATAGCCCTAGTAGGTCAGTAGGTCTCTCACAACTTTACTCTAGCATAGTATGGTACGTAGATCCCTCACAAAATTTAATCAAGATGTATGGTACAGTAGATCCCTCACAACTTTACTCTGCATAGTAGGGTACAGTAGGGCTCTACAAATTTTCATCATGCATGGTATGGTACAGCAGGTCCCCCACAATTTACATCATGCATAGTTTTGGTACATAGGTCTCTCACAACATTTACATATAGCATGGTATGGTCAGCGGTCCCTCACAACTTTACATCATAGCATGGTATGGTCAGTAGATCCCTCAACATTTTCATAAGCATGTATGGACAGCAGGTCCCTCACAACATTTACATCATAGCATGGTATGGTACAGTAGATCCCTCACAACATTTACATCATAGCATGGTATGGTACATCAGGTCCCTCACAACATTTACATCATAACATACTATGGTGCAGCAGGTCCCTCACAACATTTATGTTCCTGAAAATGTTGGTAAGTATCCTGATTGTAAATGGAGAACATTGTAAGTCAACATATTCTTATGTTAATTGTTGGTACATGGTTTGGTCCTAAGTATTCCAGACTTATTGATTGTCTACTGTACCTAATTCATTAATATTTTCTACATAGTTCTTGATGACAAGAGATCCCTATGAAAATCATGATAATAAATATGAAGAAATACCAATGAAAATATAAAATAAAAAATAATACCAATGAAAATATAAACAGAACAGAAACACATGAATCCTTTCATGCATTTACACACATCTTTAGCAGTGCTAAGAGTTCTTTCTAGTTCCTCTGAAGATGTGAGAGTGTATATGTGTGTGTGTTATGTTTAAACACACAAAAACACTCGGGTGTTCTTTTCTGTTAATTTTTCATTAGTACTTTTTCATAATTTTTTATACATTGTACAGAATTTTTTTTTCAACATACTGGCGTACTGCCACCAAGGCAGCGTCACCTGAAAAAGAAGAAAACTATAAAATGTATCTTCTTTTTACATTTAGTAATAGACATTATTTATAAATTTCTTATTTTGAGAGAACTGAGTTACTTTGTCTCATCTATTTAGAGTCGTTTATCTGAAGTAGAGCAGCAGTGTCGAGTGCAGTTAACAGCAGCTCAGAGTGAAGCCTCACAGCTTCGTCAGGTTAAAGACCGGGAGGCAGCAGCAGCTTCTCAACGCATCACTGGTAATTATGAAACTGATGGATTTCTCTAAGTTTATTCAGGGCTTGTTAAGTATCTCTAGCAAGTAAGTTTATTTAGGTACAGGTATGCATAAGTACAGTTATCATACATAGTGTAAATTACCCTCCAGGATAGCCCAAAAAAGTCAAAGTGACTTATTTCTATCTGAGTCCTTTGCCGGTGATACCAGTAATCCCAGGGAAAGCTCTATAAAAATTTGTGATAGGATAACATTTGTGATCATCACAAAACTTCAGTAAATTTTGTTAGGAAATCTTTTTGACTCTGTGACCCAGTGAGTAAGTACCTCACACTGGTAACCTCAGGTCTGCCAGACTGCACGTTTAAATTTACTGCATTAACTTGTTGGCATTTGTTCATTACAAACTTTTATCATTCTTCAGATATGTATTGTTATCTTGCCTGCATTACTAAAATACTGTACTACATTATGATGATACTTTTTATGAGACAAGTTGTTCTTCAGATTTGAGTGGAAAATTTTTTTTTGCCAAAAAAAATACATTTTGAGTAATTAGTATTTCTATCATTCAGAACTGATGAATCTTGTTGAAGAAGAGAGAGCAGCAGTTGCCAGGATCAAGGAGCGATCTGTAGCCAAAGAATTGGAACTGGAGAAACGTATTTCTGAGGAGAGGCAGTCACAGCTCTCCAGCTCACACCAGTTAACACAACAAAACTCTCAACTGCACGACCAGTTAAAGGTACTCGGTAACATTAACACTGAAAATTGTTTGTACAGATGCATGATTTTTATTTGTAAGAAAGACACATGTGAAATAAAGGGAACATTTCATTATTATTTCATTGGAGTGACAAAGCAACTGAATGGTGAAATGTTACTTTAATAAAAAATTGCCACTTACCACATATGTTTTTTACATACTTGTTGGTGTTAATCACCATTTGTATCCTCATGTTTATGTGGTATAGTATTGAGTACAGTGGACCCCTGGTTTACGATCACCTCCCAATGCGACCAATTATGTAAGTGTATTTATGTAGGTGCGTTTGTACGTGTATGTTTGGGGGTCTGAAATGGACTAATCTAATTCACAATATTCCTTATGGGAACAAATTCGTTCAGTACTGGCACCTGAACATACTTCTGGAATGAAATAATATCGTAAACCGGGGGTCCACTGTATTAATATATTTTTTTTGACACGCTGACCATTTCCCACAGAAGCAGGGTGATGCAAAAAATAAACACTTTCATCATTATTCACGCTATGACTGTTTTGCCAGAGGCAAGCAGATACATCAGTTTAGACACCTCCAGTACTTGAGTCTGGCTAACTGGTTTCTCTGAATCCCTGCACAAAATATTACTCTGCTCACACTCTGACAGCTCGTCAAATCCCATAAACCATTTGTCTCCACTCCTATCTAATGCACTCACACATACCTGCATTAATATATTGGGTAGAAATAGAAATGTGAAAAGTATGGCATGAATTTGTGACCCTCACCAGAGGACTTACCTTCCTTGCATTAAGCCTAATTATTTCTATTCCCTAGGGTATGTATGACCACTACTTTCTTCATTAATCACATGTACTGCCTATCTTCTTCCTTAATACGTATATCTCTAATTATGTTTTTTTTATTAAATTGCTAAATACATCCAATATTTTAAAACTATTCTTCTTCTCACATATTTGTAATCATAATTTTGTTTTAAGGTTGCCTGAAAATGATAATGGTAAGAGACTTTCTATAAAGTAGTAACAGATGTCACTTACTCCAATTGCATAATATACTGTACTCCACTTCATAAAAAAACAGTTTCTTTCTGTTTGTTTGACTATAATTTTTTTTTTCAACACACCGGCTGTATCCCACCAAGGCAGGGCGACCTAAAAAACAATGAAAGTTTTTCTTTTCAAATTTAGTAATTCATACAGGAGGAGTGATAATAAATACCTAGCATTTTCCCAGGCAGTGTATGACCTTTATGGCTTCACTGCTTCCCTGCAAATATATTATGTAATATTAGTCATATCTTGTGATTTAGGTAAGATAAGATAAGATAAGATAAGATTTCGTTCGGATTTTTAACCCCGGAGGGCTAGCCACCCAGGATAACCCAAGAAAGTCAGTGCGTCATCGAGGACTGTCTAACTTATTTCCATTGGGGTCCTTAATCTTGTCCCCCAGGATGCGACCCACACCAGTCGACTAACACCCAGGTACCTATTTGCTGCTAGGTGAACAGGACAACAGGTGTAAGGAAACGTGTCGGAATGTTTCCACCCTCCGGGAATCGAACCCGGGCCCTCCGTGTGTGAAGCGGGAGCTTTAGCCACCAGGCCACCATGACTCTTATGGGTTTGGCTCTTTCCTTTGAATATGATACAAAAGCAGTAATAATAACAATACTATTTATAATAACAATAATAACGAACAAAAAGGCACAATACCGTGATTGGAACAATACACAAAGAACCCGCACATAAGAGAAAGATATGCAGGTTGTGTATTGTGTAATAATAATAATCTTCTTTCTTCTTTCAACAAACTGGCCGTATCCCACCGAGGCAGGGTGACCCAAAAAGAAAAACAAAAGTTTCTCTTTTTAACTTTAGTAATGTATACAGGAGAAGGGGTTACTACCCCCTTGCTCCCAGCATTTTAGTCACCTGTGCTGCAAGGGTAAATATACATAAATCTTATTAACTTCATGAGCAAATTTTATATACAGGCATACCTCACTTTTAGACACTTCACTTTAGAATGCTTCGCTAATATGGCATTTTTCAATTACCTTTCTTCTTCTTTCAACACACCAGCCGTAACCCACTGAGATGGGATGGCCCAAAAGGAAAAACAAAAGTTTTACCTTGTACATTTAGTAATATATACAGGAGAAGGAGTTACTAGCCCCTCACTGCCGGCATTTTAGTCACCTCTTACGACACGCATGGCTTACAGAAGAATAATTCTATTCCACTTCCCCATGGAGAATTAAAAATAATAATAATATTAATATTTGTAGGTGCTGGAGGCCAAAATCAAGAGTGCAGAAGAAAAGAGAGAGACTATAGAATCCAAGTTTGAATCTGAAGTCAACCAAGTGACTAAAAAGTTGTATAGTGTTGAGCAAGAGAAAGCAATCCTTGAGGCCAGAGTTGTTCTGCTGGAGGACACTGAAGGGTCACTGCGACGCCAGAAGGAAGAGTGTTCCACCTTACGTCAGCAACTTCATCAGCACCAAGCAGAAGCACAAGAACTGAACACTCTCAACTTGGACTCTCACCGGCACATTCAGAAGCTTAAGGACCAGTAAGGAATATAATGTTGTAAGGACCTGCCTCGCATGGGCCAGTAGGCCTTCTGCAGTGTTCCTCCATTCTTAGGTTCTTAAGTTTTAAGATAAAATCTAAGATAGTATATATTATATTTTCATTATACTATTTAATATTGCTATTGGACACTGAAATGTAATACTAGTACAAGCAGGCTTCACTAATACAATGAGTTAGATTGCAGACCATAAAGTGAATCACAGCTTTTTTCTTTCCACTTACCAGCGCATATAAAAGCCTAAAAAGAATGTTTGCTCTATCATTTATTAAGTGTGAAGTAGTGCTATAAAACAGTGCAAAAGTAAAAATAATAAATAAAAATGAAAACCATATTAAGAGTATGGCAAGCACCAAAAATAATGAACATGGAGAGAGGTTGGAGAGAGGGGGTAAAGGAGGTTTTGTGGGCGAGGGGCTTGGACTTCCAGCAAGCGTGCATGAGCGTGTTAGATAGGAGTGAATGGAGACAAATGGTACTTGGGACCTGACGATCTGTTGGAGTGTGAGCAGGGTAATATTTAGTGAAGGGATTCAGGGAAAACGGTTATTTTCATATAGTCGGACTTGAGTCCTGGAAATGGGAAGTACAATGCCTGCACTTTAAAGGAGGGGTTTGGGATATTGGCAGTTTGGAGGGATATGTTGTGTATCTTTATATGTGTATGCTTCTAAACTGTTGTATTCTGAGCACCTCTGCAAAAACAGTGATAATGTGTGAGTGTGGTGAAAGTGTTGAATGATGATGAAAGTATTTTCTTTTTGGGGATTTTCTTTCTTTTTTGGGTCACCCTGCTTCGGTGGGAGACGGCCGACTTGTTGAAAAAAAAAAAAAAAAGAATATAATTGAAAAGTTCTAGGTAGTAGGTTGGTAGACGGCAACTGCCCAGGGAGGTACTGCCGTCCTGTGGTAGTAGGTTGGTAAACAGCAACTGCCCAGGGAGGTACTACCATCCTGTGGTAGTAGGTTGGTAGACAGTAACTGCCCAGGGAGGTACGACCGTCCTGCCAAGTGAGTGTAAAACGAAAGCCTGTAATTGTTTTACATGATGGTAGGATTGCTGGTGTCTTTTTTCTGTCTCATAAACATGTAAGGTTTCAGGTACGTCTTGCTACTTCTACTTACACTTAGGTCACACTACACATACATGTACAAACATATATACACACCCATCTGGGTTTTCTTCTATTTTCTTTCTTGTTTTTGTTTATTTCCTCTTACCTCCATGGGGAAGTGGAACAGAATTCTTCCTCCGTAAGCCATGCGTGTCGTAAGAGGCAACTAAAATGCCGGAAGCAAGGGTCTAGTAACCCCTTCTCCTGTACATATTACTAAATGTAAAAGGAGAAACTTTTGTTTTTCCTTTTGGGCCACCCCGCCTCGGTGGGATACGGCTGGTGTGTTAAAAGAAGAAAGACATACATACCCCTCTGGGTTTTCTTCTATTTTCTTTCTAGTTCTTGTTCTCGTTTATTTCCTCTTATCTCCATGGGGAAGTGGAACAGAATTCTTCCTCCGTAAGCCATGCGTGTCGTAAGAGGCAACTAAAATGCCGGAAGCAAGGGTCTAGTAACCCCTTCTCCTGTACATATTACTAAATGTAAAAGGAGAAACTTTTGTTTTTCCTTATGGGCCACCCCGCCTCAGTGGGTTACGGCTGGTGTGTTGAAAGAAGAAGAAAGGTAATTGAAAAATGCTGTATTAGCGAAGCATTCTAAAGTGAAGTTGTCTAAAAGTGAGGTATGCCTGTATATAAAATTTGCTCATGAAGTTAATAAGATTTATGTATATTCACCCTTACAGCACAGTAGAAATTTTAGTTAGCTTCCTTGATTCTGGTGAAGGGCTCTTGATTTGATCACATCTTATTAGAATTAAAAGGAGCTTAAGAAACATTTTTTATATAACGGCCATCTTCCACCAAGGCAGGGTAACCGAAGAAAAAAAACACGTTCATCGCTATTCAAACTTCCTATCTTTTTAATCCCTTCCCTGACACCTTGAGGTAGGTCTTAATATGACGTTAGCTGTCAGTATCCCTCTACAAAATTAGAATAATATGCAGTATAGTGTACTGTGGAAGAAATCACAATATGTGTATAAGCACATGGGTTTTATTTCCTATTTGCACTGTGGTATTTTTTTCATACTGTACTGTATAGGTACTGCATGTAGTTCTTAGCATAGTCAAGAAAATACCTTTTATACTGCTGATTTGAGGGTTGTACATTTGTTGGTATTGTGTAAGCTATTTTTTGGTACAATTTTGTCATAAGAGTAAATAAAAATGGGTTAACTTCATTGTTCTTCTATAGACTTGAACTCTCCTGACAGGCTTAGTGAGGCCAAAAATCAGCTTGGTGTCGTGAAGGAAGAGTCAAGAAAGGAACGAGAGGCTGGAGATCGTCTCGTGGCAGATCTGCGAGTTTCTCACCAAGAGGAACTTGAAGAGCTACGAGCCAGGATCTCCACCTTAGAGAGGCTACTGGCTGAGAAAAACACAAAGTACTTAGAGGAATGTAATCAGCTTAAACAGGTATATTTTTAATTATAAAAAACCATATGAGCAAATATAGGACATATTTACTAGAAAACATTTCAGTTCTGGAACCTTGAATACATCTATTATATTTGATAGTCTTGACTTGATAATGGTCTAAAATGGACAGAAACATTGTTTAAAGTTTCCACTCTAAAGTGTGGACTATTTGTAAATTGTTCAGGCATTTTTGTTTGGTAAGGAACTTCAGTGTAGATCTGCAGTGATGTACAGTTTTATTTGTATCTTCATAAAAGTCATGCATCCACATGTCATCCAATGATTGTTCCTATGTAGATTACTGCAACTACAAATTCTGAGCTCTTTTCCCAATTTTATTGTCTTCCTCTGTTATTATTATTATTTTTTAATACCCCGGCTGTCTCCCACCGAGGCAGGGCGACCCAAAAAAAGAAGAAAACACTTTCATCATCACTCTCTCCATCACTGTCTTGCTAATGGCATGCTAATACTACACTTCAAAACTGTATTATTATTATTATTCTTTTTTTTTTTTTTCTTTTTTTTTTTCAACAAGTCGGCCGTCTCCCACTGAGGCAGGGTGACCCAAAAAAAAGAAAGAAAATCCCCAAAAAGAAAATACTTTCATCATCATTCAACACTTTCACCACACTCACACATTATCACTGCTTTTGCAGAGGTGCTCAGAATACAACAGTTTAGAAGCATATACGTATAAAGATACACAACATATTATTATTATTATTATTATTATTACTGTATCATAATCACAAACCACCAACAAACCTATAGGGGACCTTACTTTATCTTTCCAACTTTGATTACCTCCTGTTCATCAGGCATTTCATGACCCTTGGTGGTTTAGCACTAACTTATGAAATACAACCAACAACAACAACAATAATAATCATTATCATCATCAAACAATTCAGAAAGATCATCAGAAGTGGGTTTTTATTCTTTCATGACTTTCTTATTCTTTCATTGTTTGTTTTATTACATGACTTGCTTAATATTTACTTGCTCACTTGTTCTTTTGCACCTACCTAAACTTGAAATTGTACAGATATTGCAGTTATCAGTGTCTAAAATATGATCGCTTTACTCGCACAGAAAGTTCGTACTTATGGAAGATTGATCAAAAAGTTGAGATTTAAGCTGGAAGTTGGATTAGTGCAAGTGAAGAACTGGAGGCTCAGCGTGCTGCACTGCAACACAATGTTCCACCTCATGTATACAGACATCTGCAGAACCAATTGCAAGACATAACTAGGAAGCACAACGAATTTGCTGCATTTATTCGTGGTCTAGGTGAATTTCAGTCCACGTTACCAGAGGTAGGGAATTAATATAATATAATGATATGGGAAATGTTGAGTGAATGCGTGGGGAGTTTTGAATCAAGTGTGAGAGTAATGGTGGTTGGGGATTTCAATGCAAAAGTGGGTAAAAATGTTATGGAGGGAGTAGTAGGTAAATTTGGGGTGCCAGGGGTAAATGTAAATGGGGAGCCTTTAATTGAGCTATATGTAGAAAGAAATTTGGTAATAAGTAATACATATTTTATGAAAAAGAGGATAAATAAATATACAAGGTATGATGTAGCACGTAATGAAAGTAGTTTGTTAGATTATGTATTACTGGATAAAAGGTTGATGGGTAGGCTCCAGGATGTACATGTTTATAGAGGGGCAACTGATATATCGGATCTTTATTTAGTTGTATTATTATTATTATTATAATCAAGGGGAAGCGCTAAACCTGGAGGATTATACAGCGCTTGGGGGGGGATGTGGAAGGCATTCAGGCTTAATTTGGGGAACTGGAGCACAGATCCAGTTCCCTAAATCAAGAGCCCCTCACCAACATCAAGGAACCTTCCTTGAGGGGTATTTAGTTGTAGCTACAGTTAGAGTAAGAGGTAGATGGGAAAAGAGGAAGGTGGCAACAACAAGTAAGAGGGAGGTGAAAGTGTATAAACTAAGGGAGGAGGAAGTTCGGGCGAGATATAAGCGACTATTGGCAGAAAGGTGGGCTAGTGCAAAGATGAGTAGTGGGGGGGTTGAAGAGGGTTGGAATAGTTTTAAAAATGCAGTATTAGAATGTGGGGCAGAAGTTTGTGGTTATAGGAGGGTGGGGGCAGGAGGAAAGAGGAGTGATTGGTGGAATGATGAAGTAAAGGGTGTGATAAAAGAGAGAAAGGTAGCTTACGAGAGGTTTTTACAAAGCAGAAGTGTTATAAGAAGAGCAGAGTATATGGAGAGTAAAAGAAAGGTGAAGAGAGTGGTGAGAGAGTGCAAAAGTAGAGCAGATGAAAGAGTGGGAGAGGCACTGTCAAGAAATTTTAATGAAAATAAGAAAAAATTTTGGAGTGAGTTAAACAAGTTAAGAAAGCCTAGGAAAAGTATGGATTTGTCAGTTAAAAACAGAGTAGGGGAGTTAGTAGATGGGGAGAGGGAGGTATTAGGTAGATGGCGAGAATATTTTGAGGAACTTTTAAATGTTGAGGAAGAAAGGGAGGCGGTAATTTTCATGCACTGGCCAGGGAGGTATACCATCTTTTAGGAGTGAAGAAGAGCAGAATGTAATTGTGATGGAGGTACGTGAGGCATTACGTAGAATGAAAGGGGGTAAAGCAGCTGGAACTGATGGGATCATGACAGAAATGTTAAAAGCAAGGGGGGATATAGTGTTGGAGTGGTTGGTACTTTTGTTTAATAAATGTATGAAAGAGGGGAAGGTACCTAGGGATTGGCGGAGAGCATGCATAGTCCCTTTATATAAAGGGAAAGGGGGACAAAAGAGATTGTAAAATTATAGAGGAATAAGTTTACTGAGTATACCAGGAAAAGTATACGGTAGGGTTATAATTGAAAGAATTAGAGGTAAGACAGAATGTAGAATTGCGGATGAGCAAGGAGGCTTCAGAGTGGGTAGGGGATGTGTAGATCAAGTGTTTACATTGAAGCATATATGTGAACAGTATTTAGATAAAGGTAGGGAAGTTTTTATTGCATTTATGGATTTAGAAAAGGCATATGATAGAGTGGATAGAGGAGAAATGTGGCAGATGTTGCAAGTATACGGAATAGGTGGTAAGTTACTAAATGCTGTAAAGAGCTTTTATGAGGATAGTGAGGCTCAGGTTAGGGTGTGTAGAAGAGAGGGAGAATACTTCCCGGTAAAAGTAGGTCTTAGACAGGGATGTGTAATGTCACCATGGTTGTTTAATATATTTATAGATGGGTTGTAAAAGAAGTAAATGCTAGGGTGTTCGGGAGAGGGGTGGGATTAAATTATGGGGAATCAAATTCAAAATGGGAATTGACACAGTTACTTTTTGCTGATGATACTGTGCTTATGGGAGATTCTAAAGAAAAATTGCAAAGGTTAGTGGATGAGTTTGAGAATGTGTGTAAAGGTAGAAAGTTGAAAATGAACATAGAAAAGAGTAAGGTGATGAGGGTATCAAATGATTTAGATAAAGAAAAATTGGATATCAAATTGGGGAGGAGGAGTATGGAAGAAGTGAATGTTTTCAGATACTTGGAAGTTGATGTGTCGGCGGATGGATTTATGAAGGATGAGGTTAATCATAGAATTGATGAGGGAAAAAAGGTGAGTGGTGCGTTGAGGTATATGTGGAGTCAAAAAACGTTATCTATGGAGGCAAAGAAGGGAATATATGAAAGTATAGTAGTACCAACACTCTTATATGGATGTGAAGCTTGGGTGGTAAATGCAGCAGCGAGGAGACGGTTGGAGGCAGTGGAGATGTCCTGTCTAAGGGCAATGTGTGGTGTAAATATTATGCAGAAAATTCGGAGTGTGGAAATTAGGAGAAGGTGTGGAGTTAATAAAAGCATTAGTCAGAGTGCAGAAGAGGGGTTGTTGAGGTGGTTTGGTCATTTAGAGAGAATGGATCAAAATAGAATGACATGGAAAGCATATAAATCTATAGGGGAAGGAAAGAGGGGTAGGGGTCGTCCTCGAAAGGGTTGGAAAGAGGGGGTAAAGGAGGTTTTGTGGGCGAGGGGCTTGGACTTCCAGCAAGCGTGCATGAGCGTTTTAGATAGGAGTGAATGGAGACGAATGATACTTGGGACCTGACGATCTGTTGGAGTGTGAGCAGGGTAATATTTAGTGAAGGGATTCAGGGAAACCGGTTATTTTCTTATAGTCGGACTTGAGTCCTTGAAATGGGAAGTACAATGCCTGCACTTTAAAGGAGGGGTTTGGGATATTGGCAGTTTGGAGGGATATGTTGTGTATCTTTATACGTATATGCTTCTAAACTGTTGTATTCTGAGCACCTCTGCAAAAACAGTGATAATGTGTGAGTGTGGTGAAAGTGTTGAATGATGATGAAAGTATTTTCTTTTTGGAGATTTTCTTTCTTTTTTGGGTCACCCTGCCTCGGTGGGAGACGACCGACTTGTTGAAAAAAAAAAAATGATAATGAACTGCTGCTATTACTACTACTACTATCACTGCTACTACTGTTACTACTATTACTACTTTCTCAGTACAGGTGGGGCCCCTCTCATACAGTGGGTTAGGTTCCGGGTCCCACTTATATATCAGGTTAGGTTCTGGGTTACTTCTGTAAAGTGAAAATTGCTGTAAAGTGAATCATAGCCTTCTGTCACTTTTGAATGCTTATACAAGCCTGATAACATGTTTATCCTTTCATGTAGCACACATTACTTACCTTAAAATATTTTCATCCTTAGTTTATAGTGAATGGTGAATATATTTATCATAGGAAGTTTGAAAAAATAAAGAATGGGTATAATTGACAACTGCATTAGTGAAATGCCATGAAGTGAGTGTTGTAAAGTGGGGCCTGTCTGTATACAAAATACCCACACTTATTACTGTACATACTACATAGATAGGCCATTTAACACAAATATTATTCGAATGTTACAAATACAGTGGACCCCCGCTTAACGATCACCTCCAAATGCGACCAATTATGTAAGTGTATTTATGTAAGTGCGTTTGTACGTGTATGTTTGGGGGTCTGAAATGGACTAATCTACTTCACAATATTCCTTATGGGAAAAAATTCGGTCAGTACTGGCACCTGAACATACTACTGGAATGAAAAAAGTTCGTTAACCGGGGGTCCACTGTATTCTTTGAGAGTGGCAACAAAATGCATTAACACAGTGTGAGAAATAAATATCACTGATATTGCAGGTGTTTGACTTAACCTGAGTAGAAACCAAATATACATAAAAGGCCCCAAAAAATGGGGCACTGCCTGCCAGATGATAATTCTAAAAGCTCCCTGTGTACCAGTAGCTTCAAAATTATTGTTAAAGAAAGCACTTTATTAAGATTGTACATAGTATTCAAACACATCAAAAACAACTTCTTTTGCAGATTCTTATCAGCATTCATATTCATCCAGTTTTTATTGCCACTATATTTCTTTACCTAATAATTGTCTGCATTACTAGCTCTTCATACTACCATTGCTGTCTTAATTACATAGAAATTTGTTAATTAACATGACATTTACATTTAATAATCTTATCTTCAGACAACTGGATTATGTTAAATAACATTCATATATGTACAGTATTTAGCTTTCACAGCTTCAAAGATTTACTTCACTTGAATAATAACTCCAGCCAGTAATTGTACACCTGTGTAATTACCTCCAGATAGTTTAAGTGTCAAGTACTGTCAGGTTCTATTTTTACTCTGCCCAAAATACAGAAAGAAAAGTATATACAGTATATTATTTACCCAGAGGGTTAGTAACCCAAGATAATGCAAGAAAGCCAAGCAGTATTTCCATTGGGCACCTTTGATTCTTATCCCCGGGATGTGACCCACAGCAGTCACATAACACCCAGGTACCTGCTTACTGCGGGGTGAGCAGGGATAATAGGTTTCAGGGAACGTGCCCAATGTCTCTACATATGCTGGAATTGAGTCCGGATCCTTCATTTGTGATCAGAATGTGCTGCCACTTGAATCATATCCCATTGTGGTCTGCATAACTATGTAGGAGCTTTTCAAAATGTGTAAAATCAGTTTCAGTTAATTTTGCAAACATTACATATATTTTGAAGAAAATTATTTTTAGTTAATGTATTTTGGAAAGAAAACTAAAATTTCATAAAATGAAAAGCTCTACTAAATCAATATTAATAAAAAACAAAGTGAATGTGTTTATCTGGGAATGTGGAACTGGGATGTTTTTCTGTGCTCTGTAATAATGTTGGTAGAATTTCCAAATATGTTAAATAAAGGGCACATGTGCAGCAGTAAAATGTCTCGTTAGTTGCACATGTGCTTGACTTTAGTTTAGTAATTAAAAAAGTACTGAATATAACTGGGTATAAAGCAGGGACAGCCCCAGAAGTTCTATATAAGAGGGGCTTAGGGGTGAAATTTGGTTGGGAGAAGTGGCAATGGGACTTACTTTGAAGCAGTATTATTATTTTTATTTTTATGTGGGAGCTTTGGGGGACTGATTGAATTTTGGGGGCTTCAGCCCCCAGCTGTAAAAATGCATAATTCAGAATAAGTTTCTATTTTAGGCAACTTTTCCTCAGATTTTTTTAAGGTTTCTATCCTAACAAAACATGGTGTAACATAAAGGCTCCCACTGTTTTACTTGTTCTTCTTCCCACTTTCATCTTCCTGCCCCAGTTACCATATTTGACATCATTAATACAGTAAATTATTTTTATATTTTTTTAAGATGGCAGAACTGGCAACGTGTGTAGGAGCAGTGGAACAGAAGTTGAGTGAACTTGAAGGAGACCAATTACACTGCTTATCTGAACTTGACTCTCTATAACAAGGCTGCTATGACTTTTAATGAGGGTTGTTACCCAGTGAACAGTTCCTATGAGAATCCCCTCAAGAAAATTTTGGAAGTGATAAATAGCAGGACTTGAATCCTGGAGGGTGGGAAGTACAATACCTGCACTCCAAGGAGAAAGTTTGGGATATTTGCTGTTTAGAGGGACATCTAAATTATCATATCTGCACACCTCTGGCAAGACAGTGATAGTGTGAAAGATGGTAAAAGTGTTTCTTTTTCTGGTCACCCTGTCTCAGTGGGAGATGACCAGCATGTTAAAAAAAAATAGATTACTAACATGAAATGAGATTTTTAATCTCTTCACTTATTTTGTTTATTCTAGTCATTCATGTCATCTTTCATAATTGTTATTTGCTTATTCAGCACTCACCTATCAATTTTAAAAATTATTATCTAATTTGAAGTCCAGTATAGTATATGTATAAATTATTTGGTATATGTGTAAGTTATTTCCAGCACTGACTGTCTCTGACAAATTAAGCCCATAATAGAGATGATTTATCAGGACATTTACAAAATATATTGATCACAGCTGACAACTTAGCAGCACATTAAAACCAGAATATGTGCAAAAAAGTTCAAATTCATCCTTTACTTATTAGAGAGAGAGGAGAGATGCAATTTATATTAGATGAAGATTAAAGTACAAATTTTACTGGGTATATGGTGGTAAATCAGTGGAAAAAAGAAAGGTAAATTATATAGAATGCCTTGTACCCCTCACTAAATTTATATAGAATGCCTTGTACCCCTCACTAAATTTATATAGAATGCCTTGTACCCCTCACTAAATTTATATAGAATGCCTTGTACCCCTCACTAAATTTATATAGAATGCCTTGTACCCCTCACTAAATTTTTATATTTTACAATCTATGTCTGATAGAAGAATTCAGCAATAAGATTATTTGTATTGAACATTGGTAAATTGTATGGATGTGTGAAAATGGTTAAGTTTATAAAATAATTAAGAAATATAAAAACTTTGCAGCTATGTAACACTTGATATAGGTATAATACATATTTGATAAAAAATGCTATTTTTAATAAATTTTATATTAATGTATGTACTGTACTATGAAATATTTGAGATAATGTATGTAAGGTACATGTTAAAACTTTTGTGAGTCCCTTGAGGGGCATAATGGTAGGTAATGGAGAGTACAGTGAGTCCTTTGAAGGGCATAATGGAAGATAATGGAGAGAGTACAGTGAGTCCCTTAAGGGCCATAATGGTAGGTAATGGAGAGTACAGTGAGTCCTTTGAAGGGCATAATGGAAGATAATGGAGAGAGTACAGTGAGTCCCTTAAGGGCCATAATGGTAGGTAATGGAGAGTACAGTGAGTCCTTTGAAGGGCATAATGGAAGATAATGGAGAGAGTACAGTGAGTCCCTTAAGGGCCATAATGGTAGGTAACGGAGAGTACAGTGAGTCCTTTGAAGGGCATAATGGAAGATAATGGAGAGAGTACAGTGAGTCCTTTGAAGGGCATAATGGAAGATAATGGAGAGAGTACAGTGAGTCCTTTGAAGGGCATAATGGAAGATAATGGAGAGAGTACAGTGAGTCCTTTGAAGGGCATAATGGAAGATAATGGAGAGAGTACAGTGAGTCCTTTGAAGGGCATAATGGAAGATAATGGAGAGAGTACAGTGAGTCCTTTGAAGGGCATAATGGAAGATAATGGAGAGAGTACAGTGAGTCCTTTGAAGGGCATAATGGAAGATAATGGAGAGAGTACAGTGAGTCCTTTGAAGGGCATAATGGAAGATAATGGAGAGAGTACAGTGAGTCCTTTGAAGGGCATAATGGAAGATAATGGAGAGAGTACAGTGAGTCCTTTGAAGGGCATAATGGAAGATAATGGAGAGAGTACAGTGAGTCCTTTGAAGGGCATAATGGAAGATAATGGAGAGAGTACAGTGAGTCCCTTGAGGGGCATAATGGAAGATAATGGAGAGAGTACAAGCTGCTCTTTACCCTCGTCATGTAATGTTCTGCATCAATAAAATTACTTCTATTTTACCTGCCTTTTCTTGACAAGTTGTTTTCTTCCCTACTGTTGGATTCCCTTTCCAGGGAGGAGCCTTGATGCTGGCGAGAGACTTGATCTAAGGAATCTGGCCTGCATCTATGTTTACCTGGAGAGGGTTTCAGGGGTCAACACCCCCATGGCCTGGTCTGAGAACAGGCCTCATGGTGGATCAGGGTCTGATCAACCAGGCTGTTACTGCTGGCTGCAAGCAAGTTTATTTAGGCAGGGGTACACATAAGTATAATTATAATTCAAAAATAGTGTAAATTACCCAGGATAACCCAGAAAAGTCAGACTAAGTGACTTATTTCTATTGGGGTCCTTGATTGTCTCCCGTTCTCCAGGCATTGTATGACCTCTTAAGTGTTAACAGCTTCATGACTATACCCCTCAAGGAAGGTTCCTTGATGCTGGTGAGGGGCTCTTGATCTAGGGAATTAGATCTGTGCTCCAGTTCCCTGAATTAAGCCTGAATACTAGCTGGTAGTAATAAGTTAACACAAGTTATATACACTGATGGATCTAAACAGGAGTCTTCTGGCAGGGCTGCATCTGCTCTTGTTGCACCTCCCTAGTTAAGAACCATAATAAATTTGTTGAGTTAGGCATAAGAATTAACAACTGGGCGTCTACACTGCAAACTGAATTGTTGCAATTCTAATGGCGCTAAAGCTGACTTATGACACTGATCTTGACTCTATCATTATTACTGATTCTATGTCATCATTGAAGGCTCTTGACTCATATAATGACTCCAACAACATGCTCATTGGGGAAGCCAGGTACAGATACTAAAAAATTAGGGACAAAGGAATTAATGTACAATTGCTATGGATCCCATCACACATTGGATTACTCCTTCATGATAAAGTTGATATGTTAGCCAAGAAGAGTACCCAGAAGGAGAATGTAGAATATAACTTTGGTATAACTGTGTCTAGCATTAGGAATAATATTAGGAGAGAAGTAAATAATGAAAATGATTGTTATAGGAATGCAGTTAGAAGCCTGAGTAGATCTATAACCCACTATGATAACATGAACGTAGATAAGTATGTTTATGGAGCAACTTGCAATGTGAACAGACTGACTGATGTTGTAGTGGCCAGGCTTAGGCTTGGTTACAAGTACTGACTGATGTTGTAGTGGCCAGGCTTAGGCTTGGTTACAAGTACTGACTGATGTTGTAGTGGCCAGGCTTAGGCTTTGTTACAAGTACTGACTGATGTTGTAGTGACCAGACTTAGGCTTTGTTACAAGTACTGACTGATGTTGTAGAGGCCAGGCTTAGGCTTGGTTACAAGTACTGACTGATGTTGTAGTGGCCAGGCTTAGGCTTGGTTACAAGTACTGACTGATGTTGTAGTGGCCAGGCTTAGGCTTGGTTACAAGTACTGACTGATGTTGTAGTGGCCAGGCTTAGGCTTGGTTACAAGTACTGACTGATGTTGTAGTGGCCAGACTTGGCTTGTTACAAGTACTGACTGATGTTGTAGTGGCCAGGCTTAGGCTTGGTTACAAGTACTTCTGGCAGTTTGGGAGACACACAGATGATGATCAAACTAAATGTAAATTATGTGACCAGACATATGGTCACTCTCTTGAACACTATGTGCTTAATTGTCCACTTATTGAGGAATACAGAGACAGACAGTATAATAACCTATGTGACATGTCAAGATATCTTATTACTGAAAATAAGATACCCGATATACTAAGCAAATTTCCTAAATTTGCTTGCAACAGATAAGTGAACTATAGATATGTAGATATAAATCCATATGTATTCCTGTTAACCCTTTGGGGCCTAGTTCCTAGGCCTTTTGTGTATCCATATGCTCTCGCGCTACCGTCCACAGGATGGATATGGGGTGCACAATTATTATATTATAATCAAAAAGAAGCGCTAAGCCACAAGGGCTATACAGCAGGGGTGCACAATAAACTAGCCACTTCGGTGGCAAAATCTAATCTAATCTAATCTAATCCCACCACAGGCGCTGCATAATCCTACGGGTTTAGTGCTCCCCCTTGGTTATACTACTTCATGACTATAATAATATTTATAACAATGTTGCTTCTGCTAATAACAATGGTTCCCTCAAGAGCTCATGATTATGGAATTAAACCTATGCTCTTTTTCCACTGAACCTCAACGCCAACCATCTCCCCCCAAGCAGTGTGAAATTATGGGTTTAGAGCTCTCATGCATGTAATAATTATTATAATAAAAATAAGGGCTCAACTATAATAATAATAATGGGTCCACTGACCCATTACATATCTATCTACCCTCGTCAATTTGGTCTCCATTCCCAAGTTCACAGACTAGCTTACAGAATTAGAAATTTCTTTTCAAAAGAGGGTGCCTTGATGCTAGTAAAGAGCTCTTGATCCAAGAAATTTGAGCTATCCTTCCCCAGATCAAGTACTGATTGATTAGTGCTTCTCCATAATATATAATTTAGTCTACATGCACAAATAAAACAAGTTATCAACAGCAAGTCATAAGAGAAGGTTACTGAGGCGACAGACGCCTCGTGACGTCACTCCAGAGCTCGTGTCTCATTGGTAGAAACTCTTTGTTTACATCCAGTAGAACAACCAATCACAGTAAAGGTATAAATATTAACAGCATGATTACCTGAAGGGTTTGTAACGTCACCGTTGATTGGTTGCTTTTTGGAAGTAAACATTAGCAGGAGTTAAGATAATGAGGGCTATATAGGAAGGATATAATGGATATACGAGGGATATATATGAGGGATATAATGGGATATATACTAAGGATATACTGAGAAATATGCATGGGATATAATGGGCTAATTAAGAGGGATATAAAGAGAAATATGCGTGGGATATATACGATATATATAATAGGACATATGCATGGGATATACGAGGGATTTATCATTAAGTGATAAAAACATAGTTGCTGTGTATAATAATCTTTCCTGCACATATATCCCATTATA